TCTATTTTCCGCCACTATTTAAAAAAAAAACATATCATTTATTCAAAACAATTTAAAATCTAATGACCAAGAAGTGTGAATTTGAAAGTGGAAAGATGAACAAATGGTTTTTAATTTGTATCAATGTTGTTAGTTGTTACAGGGAAAGCGGCTACATTTGGCAGAACTGTATCGGGAGTAATTTGAACATATTTTTATTTTCTAGACCTTCTCTGTTTCATATTTTTGAATTTTAAATATATTATCAAATTGTGTTGGTATATTCAGTCTATTCTCTTTTATTTATAGGACAAAACATTTTCGTTGACAGTAAACAAATTCAGTACAAATTTATAAGTTCACCTTTCTGCACTGCCCTGTTATCGTCTCTGTTCTATCAGTCCCTATCAGTTTCCAGATAAACATTCGTCTTTAAGGTGTATTAGTTTCAAGTACTTCTTAATATAGTAACATTACAATATAAATATACCCTCAAACACAAAGATCAAATAGGACTGTTACAGAAATAATCTGAAATATGTTATCGAAAACCATATCAGGTAACGTATCAACAGACAAAACCAGGTAACGTATCAACAGACAAAACCCGGGTTGCGTTCAATATCGTAGCGGCTACATAGGGCTACGTAGATTTATGACTATTGAACGTGTAGCTAGCCTAGCTGCTACATAGATATTGATAGCAGCTAGGCTAGCTACTCGTTCAATAGTCATAAATCTACGTTGCACTACGTAGCCGCTACGATATTGAACGCAACCCAGGTAACGTATCAACAGACAAAACCAGGTAACGTATCAACAGACAAAACAAGGTAACGTATCAACAGACAAAACCAGAATAAGAAAGAGATTATTATGCATTAGAAATGGATATGCTAATAATTTAACAAAATACAACTCATGGATTTATATCTTTTGGGATGTCTGTTTTAATTTAATCGTTTTAAAAGCACCATTTGCCATTAATATATTTGAAAATTTATTAGAGATTTGGTAAACATATGGAACACACACGTAATGCACTTGTGAACGAGTTATAATTTATATGTTTGAATAAATAAATTAACAAAAGCGTTAAAAAAAATTTGCTATATTGACTAGCACTTTCATCCATCTTGGGACTTGTCAAGAATACCAAACTGAATTAAATTATTATACATAGTAAGTCATAAAAATGCATTCATGTATTCAAACTAGAATTTTCAATTAAGACCACCGTTTCATATTCAAATTCCTTTAGTTCATAAACTTTAAAAATTGACACTTAAAAAAATAATACTGGAAACATCAGCTCTAATTTTGAATACTTGCATCAATTGGAAGAAATAGACAATAAATTTTATTCCATTTTAATCTATAATCCTACAGGAATGTAAGCGCAAAATAAACCCCCAAGTTTTCATGTAATTTTGTAGAAAGTAAGAAGAGATGAAAACTTGATTCCGTAAAAAACTGTATCAAAATTCTACCTACACAAGTTGTATCCCTTTATCCCTTTAAATGTAAGTAATTTAGGCAGGATGAGGTACCTAATCATGCAAAATGAATAAAAGGAAAGTCGATGAGACATCAAACCACTAGTTATGCTTAATCCAAAAACATCTAGAGGTCAACTTGTTTTCTTCAATATTATACAAGTGTCTCTGTTATATATGAAACTCTTAGTCGCTACAATTCTGTAGACAAGCTGTCAACAAAGGGGTAGGGCTAATTTCCCCTGAATCTATTTCACACCAGAGCCATTTTCTTACAGTTCTTCAATCTTTTCTAAAATTCATAGCATTATATATTTAAATGAATAGTTTAAGGTTTTGACAACATTTTGTAACTTGTCGAACATGTGTTCAAATTTTAAATGCCTAAAGATGACTCAAAACTAACAGAGTGTGGCCATATGAGTGAAACAAAGCAAGGGGAAATTGGCCCTCTTTAACAGAGACTACACTAAAATAGATCTCTCATCATCGCCAACTTCTTTATAAGAAAAATATTAAGATACTAAACAACTGACGAGGATTCGGACTTGGAGGCATGTATAAAAAGGGAGTTTGTGGTGGAAGTCAATAAGACAGAAACCCAACATACAAAACATCAAAAGACAAAGTGAGGTCATTTCTTTTTTTAAATGTTTTCTTAATAAACAAAAAAGCGGGCAATTTATGTCATAAGTACCATGCTATGTAATTTTTAAGTTAAATAATTTGGCCTTTAAAATGTAATAAAAATCCAAATTGGAATATTTTCCAACTGTTAGTTTTCATTTTTTGCGAGTCTCCTGAAGATTTATTAGACTTCGTTGTACTGAATTCGACCCAAGATACCAGTAAACGAAAAAGTCACATTAAATATCCATCAAATCGGATAAACTTTCAGTCTCTGTAGCATCATTGAATATTAATCCTTCTTGTATGCCATGTTTTATTTTACATGAGTGCTACATAAACTACAGTTATTTACATTTTTACAAATCCAAGAAACGTAAAACACGTTTAAAAGTATTAGATTTTTTGGTTCGATTTTTCAAAGAATGGATATGGAATAAATTTAAGCGAGAAAACATCGTATGCAATAGATATAAATTGTTTTTTTAGATGAACATTCAGTGCTACGTAGCCTTTAGTAAAACAATTTATGCAACATCAAGACGCCATTGATGTTGCACATAAGTGCGAATAGAGAGCTCGGAATAAATTTTAAAGTAGCCAATGACGATAAAATAAAATGATGGAAGGCAAAATAGATCATATTATTGTGATTTAATTCACAGTCTCAGAGGCAATTGTGTTCGAACTTTTATACAAACATGTGTGTGTGTGTGTATTAATTAATATCCAATGTACAAATGTAGGCAACAACTGTGGAAATCAAGTAGATTTTTTTATATATTTTATTTATGATACTGATACCCAGTTTATTCTATGTTTATTTTTTTAGAATCAAAATTACAGTTTTCTGAGTATATCCGACACCTTAAATAAAAATATTTCTGAAAAAAACCAATTTTGAATGATTTATTAGATCTTTACTGAGAGTCTTAAAATTATCTTATTGATCTAACTTTTAACTTGTCCACCAACTGCAGATCATACTCCACAGCTCACTCTTGAAGACGAAATTCACCAACATTTCAAGGGCAAAATTCGTTGCGTCCTTTTTCTTCTATTTTTTTTTATCTCATCCTTCATTTATACATTTTGACTTCTATAACTTTTAACTAGTTCTTTCCTGCTATCTTGTAGACGTCGTGTCCTCGGTGAATTGAGTAAAGAAACTTTTATCACGGACATCAAGCCGATGGTCGTGGCTTCTCTTTACAATTTTGTAGAACTGTTCATTATCTCGCTGTCTTATTACTCTTGTGGGTTTTAAGTTGTCCATACAAGTTATAAGTTGGTATCCTTTCCTTCCGAATTCAACAAGTAAGTGTCTTGCATAATGTCTAGAGTGACCTTTTCTATTAATTTTTCACCCTTTCTGAGTTGTCGGCATTCCTGTCCTCAACTGTGTGTCGAGTGATTCTCGACACCTGCAGAGCAGGTGGGACTTGTTGGCAGTTGCAGTGGTATGAATGATATAGGCGGAGGCACTTCATCTAAATCTGAGTTGGACTCGGCTAGTGTGTCCCGTGCCGAGTTAATCTCAATGAGTTGAGCGGTCTCACCTGTCTCATTAGTTTCTACATTGTCGGTGTCATTCAGAGTGGTAGTTCCAATCTCTTTCGATGACCCAGACTTTATGTCAAGGAAAGCCCTCAGACGGCAAATATTCCTTTTAGAACAGGCTTTAGATGATCTCTTTTTCTGTGGTTTGGTCGTTTTCGCTCCTTCCATTTTCTTTCCGTGTCTTCATTTCACTACAAGCTTGTAGGCTCCATTCCGAGCTGTAAGTACCCAGTCGGCGGTTTGGTCCTCAAGGATGTGTATAACAGTGAAGATGTCACTGGATCGTACGGGGCTGTTGTTGATATGGTTAACTATTATCGACAGACATTACGAGAGTTCAAACACGTCATGTTTTACTATATGACTTAAAACAAGACATGCGGGTTCTATGGTACCGCGGTTATTCAAATATTAATGAAAACTTATTGCATGCTTACAAAATATATTATACGACTCTTCTTTTATATTTTATTGGTAAAATCAAGTGAAAAACAGTACTGTGGTATCATAGAACTGCCTGTACTTCAAAACTGCTGTTCAATATGTTAAACAGCCATTTGTCTATTGCAGGTTTTTCTAATTCACAAATTAAATAGATTGTGTTACAACGAAAATTCCTATTCCGATGTATAACCACAGAGTTAGTCAAATTACCATCTTAATCATATGTGCCTCACGATAAGTACAAATATAATTCAATAGGGCACGGGTGTACTATGTTGATCAAGAACTGCTTACCACTCCAGGACAGAGGGTTCTGATAGAAAAAGCAGTTTAGTGTTTGGACTTCTTACCTAATGCAAAACTTATAAATGTGCATGTATTTAAATATGATAAATGCCTTTATAGTTTGCTGTTCGGTGTGAGCCAAGGCCCCGTGTTAAAGGCCGTACTTTGACCTATAATTGTTAACGTTTTATATTTTGTGACTTGGATGGAGAGTTGTCTCATTGGCACTCATACCACATCTTCTTATTTATATAGATACCAAAATGTTGGTTGTAACACATTCTATCTATATTTCAGTCCAAATTTAAATGTGAATGTCGTTTCTTAATCTTAATTTTATAATTGCATGTTTTGTGAATTTTATTTTGTCCTTGTCCAATTTTTCCTTGATCTGAGACTTATGGCTGCTGATATGTTTCATCACATTTTTTGTTATAATCCAGCATTCAAAATCACAAATGTAGAAGATATAAAAACGTCTTATCATCTTTTTTTTATTCGTCATTTAAGCAAGTAAAATTTCACATCCTATGATATCAAAGTAAGAACGAAAAGACCATAGCAAGTTGGAAGTTTACCTGCGCGCATGCGTATTTAAAATAAAGTTATCTATTAAGTATGATATTTATGAGGTTTAACTTCATTTTACATGAACTATCAGTAGTGCAATGACTATATTTATACATTATTGGATAAATATATCTACGTTTGTTTTACATAGGTAAGCGATTGAAATTAGTAGTATTAGAGTAGTTATAATGGCTATTTTGCCATGAGATATTGGACTATATTAACCACCCTAAATGTAAGTAGATTTATTTATTTTCCTTAATGAACGTACCTGGACGCAGAATTGTCCTTGTGCAAACTTCAGTTTTGGTATCTATGCATTTTTCACATTCAAATACACCATTAAGAGTTTTGTGTTTACTAAGGAGTACAAACAGAAATGTTTTATTTTTCGGAAGAAAAAAAGAAAAGAAAACTTTATAAATTAGTAATGACTCGAACATGTATTGATCTGTGGATACATATTGCAACACCATGCTTTTAATCTTTCAAGTATTGTTTGGTTGATTTTTTCTTCTTTTATCTTATCTGCTTATATTTTAAAATTATGTAATGTAAAAGAACATTATTTAATCACACCACTGAATAGTTTTTGTCTTGCAATCGTTATACAATACCAAGTAATATTAAGAAATCGTAAGAGTAATCGAGTAAGAAGATCTAGTTTTAAAAAAAAACTAATAAAATTAAATGAGACAGTATTTGTGGTGAATGTATTCGTAAGTATGATTTCGCGGAAGAAACATCAGCCGGTTATTTTATAGCTGATTTATAAGCTAAGTTGTGACTTTTACTTTGAGTTTTCGGGTTACCAATATCTTTATTTGACACAAAGGCGCAAAACTTTTGTCATTCCAATCAAAGGCTCACAACCGATAATCGTGAATATCGTTCTGCTTGTTTCCCGACAACCAACTAGCACTTTGTTTCGAAATGAAGTTGTTTTTTTTTTATTTCCAGAAAAAAGAAATTTCTACCAAACTATAATTGTGATTCATTCCAAACATTCATTATACACTTTCTACTAACAATGTAGGTGTTGCAATATTTCAGTTAAAATGCGTAAAAATCTGTTTCAATTAGTCAATTCAGTCTTTTCATAAGTATACCGTGACAAGTAAAGACAAACATTGGGAGTGCTAAATAACTTATAAATGATAATAACTCAGGGCGACATTTCTATGTTTGACTTACAATTTATGTGACTTAAATTATATCTTAATATATCTACACTTTACCGATATTTATATTTGAATTAGATATGTCACACTGACAGCTGTTTATGTATAACAACCATACAACAAAACCTGTATTTTACACTTACAAATGTTACTTTTCTTCGTTAAACTTTATTCCGATCGAGAGATTCGTTAGATTTGCCCTTACATTTTTATAGGTGGAAATCTACTATTTGCGAAATTGTTAGGTATTTAATGTTTTCACTGGTGTAAGTAAATACTAAAGACAACGTAGGGGACAAGACGTCATTCAAAAGTACACCTACTTTACAGGTGCTAAAACTGTCTAAATTGATGGGAGCTATATTATGGTACTCATAAAGCTATAAATAAACTTGTATATCGTATTGTTTTGACTGTATGCAACTTCTTAAGAAAAAATATTGCATAAGCTAGAGAGACTTAGGATTGCATTTTTGGGAACAATGTTTAAACTGTACTTATTAATCCGTACGGGCCATTCTAACTATACGTTGTTTAACCATCAGGTGATTTGAACGTGAACTTCTATTTCAAGAACTTGATATGAAATAAAACAAACATTTTCATGACCGAGTTGTAAAAACGTCAACTGACATTTGACAAGTATATCAAAATAAAAATGATATGTTGCGTAATCACATCCCTAAACAGTTGCTGTTTTAAATGTACAAAGGTTGCATTACATAACAATGTTCTATTTTGGCTTCTAAATGGCACTGAACAATTAAAACTGCACGTTCTGTTTTATGATTTAATACTCATCATCCTTTGCACTTGAGTATAAGTATTATACAGTTATTTATTTATCCATTGGGAAAATTAGATCTTATTTCACTTTCTGAATATCAGAAGTTAGTCAATAACTTTGTTTTTAATTTGCTTTATGATATTAAAAATCAAAATACCTTTCATCTCAAAGCTGAAATACACATGATTTATACCGTAGTCAAACATTATAAAATTATGCAAACAGACGAATATAACTAAGGTCAGAACATATTCTACCAAATGAAAGTGCAATGAGGTGCTCTTGGAAAACCACACGCAAAGAAACCGAGTAGATGTCTTATGGTGGTCTTTTGGTTATTTGTTTTAGGATGCTGTCTCATATCTTTTTATCGACAGAGGAATGTAACATTCCACATAATTACCGTATGTTTTCTCAGTTCTTTGGTAACATATATGTCAGAATTCAATATCTAACATACCTTATTTACATTTTGTTATGAAGAGTTTAAAATTGGACCTGTTTTTTCAATAAAAATATTTAGGTCCAAAATTTGCTGATAACGAAATCAATAAAACCAAATTGAATGTTTAACTATAACATTTCCTGATTTAGAAGAAGTATGTTGAAGAGATATTTTAAATCTATATAACATGTACCGAATGTAAGACAGACGATGTTACAAGTATACAAGCATTATGACTTCTTTGATAAATCGAGTGCTTAGTGTTAAATTTGTTACTAATTAAAAAAGGCACTTTATTCGTACGTTGACACAGTTTTGGCAAAAAATAGAATGGGCCTATTTATAATGTAGTAAAAATTTTATTACATTTTTTAAAAGTCACGTAGAGCACCAAAAAGACACATTTTTGCAGGTGTAATGGGCATATTATTACAACACGTTTTGTACAAACTATATATTATTTTGATAAATAACTGACACGGTTTATTCTTACTTTTGATGTAACATTAGGGGAAAATAACTTGGAATGAGAAAACACAAACAACAATACTAACCGTATGATGAAAAGAATAGTTTTCATAATATTGTTCATATCAGTTTATCGTACTGTCTGGTTAAAGTCAGACATTTAATTTAACACATCAAGATAAGGTACAGCTACAGATCTTGCTAAATAAATTGGAGAAGATATGATTTATATCAAACTTACTTTTCATCGACATCTTCCAAAGTTACTGCATAATTCTTTTCGTACTTGAACATACTCTGAAAGGTTTACAGAGTGTGAAAAGAAAACAGATTCAATCAATTTACAAACTTGAATAAATGTTTATATAAACTGTACTTTAAAATGTTGCACAGCTTTGTATATATAACTTCAGTGTTTTATATTTTCCTGCTTATTTGCTTTCAGACAATAAAAGTTATGGTTAGTGAATAGTGCAACTGACCAAAGAAGCGAATATTTGGAAATTCTATAACAATACAAACGAACAGTAATTCGGTTTAAAAAACTATCGGATATTAAAGTGATATATGTAATTTATGGTTGACTCTACACAACGAGCATTCACAAAAACAATGGATGTAATGTCATGTTTTGGTCGAAGTTGTGATGAACATTTTCGACATTATATTAATCCAGAGGAAGCAAAAAGAGCAAAACAACGTGACAAAGAAGTAACACGAATACTGAAAGACCACCATAAACAAGAACTAAAGAAATTGAAAATACTTCTTTTAGGTAAGTTCTCTCTCTATTTTATTGTTTTCTGTACTGAAGTTTCGATCAGAACAAGGTCTGAAGCGTAATTATCATTCCAATTAGTATAAGTTTTCTTAGAAGTGCCAAGCATTAGCACAAACTTTTTTTGGATATTCGTGTCATTGGGTTGATTTTTCATTGACGTATACTTCACATATCACATCGATATAGTATTGATACCAACAATGAATACTTTCCTCCATTTGATGTTATATCATGTTCACTTTTTAACTATGCGTATTCATCATAAGAAAATAGAATTGGACAAAGCTATCTTAAACATTATTTCATGAATGAATAAAAAAAAAGGTTTCAGATGAGATGCAGCCTGTAATTCTGAATTGTAAACAACTTACAATATTTGGCATTGCAACAACTATGGTTGATACAATGCAGTCCTTAACTTGTGTGTTTCTAAGTTTAATATAAGCTTTCTGAATATGTCATGTTAAACCAAAGAATGAATACATCAGTCAATGTCCACTAAGTCGTTATTCTTTCTTTAATACATTTTTCTTATTAGGGATATAAATGCAGTGGTGGATCCAGGGAAAACGCAGAGGGCGTAAGCCCCTCCCTTTGATCGCCAAAAAAAAAGTTATTATAATAACATGTTTTTTTCACGATTTATATGATTTTTTAGCATAAAATCATCCAAAAGTTTTTTGCCTCTTCTGCTCGGCAGTATATAATCCGTTTTATGGAAATACGCTCCCTTTTCAAAAATCCTGGACACGCCCCTGTAAATGTGCACAACAGCGAAAATATATTATATATATAAGGGAGAATCGCAAAAGTTGAAAATACATATTCCGTCAGAAAAAAATCCTCTTGCCCCTTCACCCTAGATATCAAATGGTCGTACCTTCATGTTAAATCGAGTTGAACGAGATAATTTTTAATTCCCGAAATCACATAGAATTGAATTGATTTGGTAAACATTTAACCAAAGCAATAAAACCAGGTCACTTTGAAAACTTTAAGTACGAGGTGAACAAGTCCATAATGAAAACAAAAATATAAACAGTTTAGGTTTTGCTTTACCAAACGGCACCTTTACATCAAAGATGACGTCAAAATGTTAACAAGCACTTGTAATATTCTAGCCAACCATCTTTGTAATTGGATGTGTGGTAAACATAATTTGTAGTATTCTTCTTCAAATATTTGTTTTGATTAAGATAAACCACTTTCACTCTTTTTAAATAAAGATAACATTCGTGTAACATTTAAACAATAATATGACGTTACACAAGTAAGCAATGCTTTGAATCAAATGTGAGTTACCTGACAATGTCTAATAATTTTTCCTGGGGATCCATAAGGAGAGTATATATGCACTTCTGCAACAGGATATTTCAAGATTACTGACAAAGATTAGAGTATCATTGTGACGTGAATTAAACCTTCGACTTCGTAGATAGACTAATACAATTTAATGAAAAGGTATCACTTTCGTAAAGTATAGTTAACTCCAAGCAACGTTCAAGGTAGACAAGATATTAACATTGTTCTATATTTTCAGGTACTGGTGAATCTGGGAAAAGTACAATCACAAAACAGATGAAAATTATACACATAAATGGCTTCGATATGCAGTAAGTACAACTTACACACCACTAAAATCAACACACTTATAAAAATGTCAGAAAGTCCTACAAATCATGTAAAAAGTTTTTATTAATTTAACATAATGACAATCATAGTAATGTTAATATGACATATTAAACAAGAAATATAAAACTCCTACACTCTAGTACATAAAACATATGTACTGTCTGATAAAGTATTTAGAAAATAACACACGAGCTTCTTACATGCGTGTCACAGTTTTCCTTCAACTTTACCCCAAAGATGTACTATAGAATGAAATGCCTGGTCCTCGAGACATTTAGTCTACAGTACTGTGTACAATTACTGAAACCAACATCGAAGTTTTTATGTACTATTATGGGTTATCAACCAATTCCAAATGTAAACAGGTATCTGTTGGTAGCTTCCTTGTACTCTCGGTAATAATGATTGTTCTTCTGTACCAACCAAACCTATCTCAACATCAACATATCTCTAAAAGAAAATTACAAATATTTTAGTCTATTTATTATGGCCACCAGATTATCAATGCATCTGCTAAAAACTGCTTGTATGATTCTTTATGCAACATATAAAAAATAGGCTCAACTAATGCAGAACACCGTCCAGTGTTTACAGTTAACTCTAAATAAGAATGAACAGAATATGCTCTTTTGTTGCATTTACATACTTTGTTTGTTATGCGTGTGTCAAGGGACATACACCTAGTGAACGTTGACTTAGATCGCTAACCCCGGACACCATATCAATCCCTAAATGCAAGTTGACATAAAAGATCAACCACAAATACTTGCCGAATTAAAATATATAAAATATACGATTAACCGGACAACATATCAATCCCTTAATGCTATAAGAAGTCATTAACCACATATATTGGTCAAATAAGAATACATAAAATATAGATGAGTCACCGGACAATGATATCAATCCATAAATGCACGTTGACATAAGAGATTAGCCACATGTACAGGACGAATAAGAATATTATACTAGTCACCGGACAACATAGTTTTAATCACTTAATGCTGGTATCTTTTCTTTTATTGGAGAAAGGGAGTGGGTGGGGGTCACAGATTTCATTTTCTCTATTCCAGGAGAAGTTATAATTGAATTAGTCTGTAAAATTTATAACTGGAATAGATCAGGAACAACTAGGATTTGTTTACTATTTTCCTATCCCTTGGGAACTTTGTATTTGCTTATTTGACGTCGTTGACGATAGTGGCTAGACAATATCAAATTATCATAATGCTATTGTACAATTATTTGGTGTTTTTACACCAATTCGAATATTCCATCTACTTATTCAACGTTATCTTTGATACAAGACAATATAAACATAAAATGATGTGGTATAACTTCCAATGAGACAACTATCTACCATAGACCAAATGTCGTGGATTTAAGCTGTAGATATATCTGAGAGAATACCGAGTTTACATACACATCTTTAAAATGCAATTTTGTATTTCAGAGAAAAAATAGAGAAGATAGCCGATATTAAGAGAAATATTAAAGAATCTATCGTGGTAAGTTATTTATTGTTTGCACTATATTTGTAAGATCTGGATAAAACGATGACAAACAATAAAATGCAAACTTAACAACCCGTCATTAAATTATTCTTTAAATATTTTTTTTTTATCTTTGGATATCATCATTTTTCAAAGAGCAAAAGGACAAGTTACATGTTCTATAAATTGCAATTAATGTTAGAGTTTTATCATTTTCATTTTGGTTTATACTTATTCCACATATACAGTTTTGCTTCATCAATACAATGTTTATTTTACCTTTTAGGTTTTGGTATTAGCAATGCAGCAATTAGGAATCTCATTATGCAGTACAGAAAGTTACAAAAGTTTGGAGTTTATGTTGGAAGAAGCAGGAAACCCCATGATTCAACACACGAAAGAATTTGCAACACACGTTCGACAACTTTGGTCAGATTCAGGTGTGCAAGAATGTTACAGTCGATCTCACGAATTCCAGTTAATAGATTGTGCGCAATAGTAAGTTTCTTTAGATATACCTGGTATGTTAGTGGTTTACTGTATGTCTGGATAGTAAATTACACGATACTGTATTTTACCTTTGAAGTTTTTTTTTAGTGAAACTGCACACAATAAACATAAAGTGAATGTTACTTGCTTAAAGCTGTAGTTGCTATTTTTGGTATATTCCTTTCTTCGATAAAATAATCACTATACAAGTAAAATATAATATATGTGTCCATATTTTCTATACAATAGTTTTTTTTCAAAAATCTTTTTTGTTTGAATCACATTGCATTGTTCAAGCCCGTAAATTTGAATCAGGTTTTTTGAAATAATTAAAAAAATAAACTATATAATTGTTAAACTGCCCCAGTCACTTATAGCGTTGTATTATCTAGTTTCCAGGTCCTTTTTTTCTCTCCAGTTCATTCATTATGATGTCCTTCTGTAACCCAAGCAACAACATGAATATCTATAATAATCATAATTTTCTTTATGTTTCAGTTTTCTTGATAAGGTAGAAGAAGTGTACGATGACGACTATGTACCCTCAGATCAAGATATCTTGCGGTGTCGAGTGGTGACAACTGCAATACAGAATATTGAATTCAATGTTCCTGATGGTGGAAACCAAGTAAGATTCAGGTTAGTTGTATCAATACATGTACATAGTCAAACATGATATCATTTTATTAGAATCGTTTTCCTTTTAAATTTTCCTTTATTGTCAGTCTCGGTAATTCTCGAAAAATTGTTTTAACTTTGTTTCCCATTTTAGTTTTTCCTTTCTCGTCAGTCTCGGTAATTCTTGACAAACTTTTAACTTTGATTCCTTTTTTAGTCTTCCTTTATCGTCAAACTCGTTAATTTTCGACAAACTGTTTTAGCTTTGTTAAATGAATGTATTAAGACAAATAAGCATGTCCAGAATAACAAATGATTAACGAAAATACATGCTTTTATATAACCATGTATATTTGTATATAGTCTACGTCAGTACTGTACTAAAACAGTTTTTATCTCTACAGTGTATTCGATGTTGGTGGTCAGCAAGGAGAAAGAAAGAAGTGGATACAAGTTTTTGACAGCGTTGCTGTAATTTTATTCATGGTCGACTGCGGTAGCTTTGATACAACTTTGAGAGAAGATCCAACCAAAAACAGACTACTTGAAGCGTTAGAAATATTTGAACAAGTATGGAAAAACAGGTAAATTAAAATATTTGTTGAGAGGCTACAAATAATTTTATTTCAGCTACATGTACAATGTATTTCACTTTATTAATAAGGTAAATGATCTCATTTGCTTCCATAAATTACAACGATAGACCACAAAAGCCGCAGGAAGTAAAGTATAAATAGATTTGACATAGCATACAATAATTTTCGTTTGATCAATAATAATTGTTATAACTACCTTTAGTATGAAAGTGAGTAATAAATAAGGGAAGTCGGTGCAAATATTTGTGCTAAATTGTCAGAAAAAAATGACTAAGTTGAATGACATAAATTTGTAATCTGTTGTTTATATCAATATTACTACCGTTTTTACATCAATATTAACCGATTTATTATTCATTTTACAATGAGTCAAATAAGATCTGATTTTCATCCAATGTTCTGTTTTCACTCACTACGACAAAATGCAACTATTTTGATAAGTTTTATAAAATGTCACATTGTATCTTTATACTAACACATTGTATTTTCAAGTGTTATTTTTAATTTACAGGTTCTTGCGGAATGTCTCTGTTCTTCTCTTTTTGAATAAAATAGACGTCTTAGCAGAGAAAGTCGCTAAAGGTCGTTGCATTGCTGAACTTGTGAAGAAATATCCACACATATTCCCAGATTTCGACTCATTTACTGCTTCAAGTGAGTTTTTGATTAATACTATAATATCACACACAATGAATGTTGCTAGTAGTTAAAACGATCCGAAAATAGGATGTTAGATGTAATATGGACTGCGTCATAAATAATGAAATACTAATAATAGCAATTTGTCAAATCTGCAACTTTTTGTTATCTTTTTATCGGTTTTTTTTCTGATGATTTCATTTTTCATTAAAAAGATATTTCAAATTGTATTATCAAAATGCAAAACATATAACCAGTTTGATTATTTTACAGACAATGAGAAAAATGAATTCTTAGATTCATTTTCTACGACAGAGGAAAAGAAAAAGAAAGGGAGAAGTAATTCAAGACCAGATTTACATCCAGATGTCGTAAAAACAGCTGTTTATATCAAACATCTATTTATGGTAAGAACAAGTGGCTTATTCACATTTAATATAACAACAGACTTTTTATAAGATGTTAAAATGTTACGGTTTACGAATTAATCGAATATTTTCTCTATAACGCCTCCAGTCGACTACATTCTAGTTCGCAATTAGAAAGCATTCTGTACATATAGAATAAGAATCTTTCTACTAATTTAGCATGTATTGAAGTGCATGAAATACTCGCATTATATACATCTTTTCCAGTATGCAATCTTAAAATCAGAAAACATAGTTTAAATCACTTTTTTCAGTAAAGTATTAAGAAAATTTGTACACCCCATTAAAAACTGTCTCCATATACAGAAGACATAGGGAACGAAAAAGTTATAAGTAATCCATATACGACAAATATGCATAGCCGTTTTGCAAATTTGCCTATTTAGTTCCGCTTTTTTGTGATAAAAAGACCTAAATGATTAGTAAATATATGCGTCATTAAATAGAGTTGTGGAATATAAGCGTAAACAATGTTGCATAATTTATATTTATTTTACAGAAATTGTAAAAGGTGAAATAAATCTCCAACACAGATCAACAAAACAAGACAAAGAATGGCACACACATCATAGTTGTGAATATTATTATACTTGTGCAGTGGACACTAATAATATCCAAAGAGTTCTGAATGGTTGCCGGACGTTGATCATTCGGAAACACTTGGAACGTTTTGGAATTATCTAGGAATCTCCGATAACAATTGAAAATGTTGGTGCTACAATTAATAGTCACACTTGTGCAATATTTTTTTTTCAAATGAAATTCAACGAAATGTGTCTCATCAGTCATAAAACATGCATAATATATGTAATATAAAGTGAGTCGAACTTATAAAGAGTCGAACTGCAAACTACACATTTGATGCCATAAAGAGAAACAAAGTGCTATTATACATTGTGATATTTTTGTGAACAGTGATAATGTTAGTGTATGGGTGTATATTGTGTACATGCTTTATGCAGGGAGAGAGTGAAAGAGTCGGAGAGATAGAGAGAGAGAGAACATTTTTATTTATTATTATCTTTACAAGTGGTTGTTTGTTTTCACATTTTTGAACATGTACATTGGTTTTGTACACTATTTTATCTTATCATTCAACTACCATTTTTCTTGTTACTACAAAAGGGCCTTCACTGACGGAGGTTTTTGGTAGACGTACGTACTTGATATGTATTCTGCAAAATGAATTTCGACACTGAGTCTTAAAATAAAATAATTAGTATACTTTAATGTCTGTCAGTCTGTCGGTTAATTCAAAAGCCAATCTTCTACAATTTTATACCGAAATTTATGTACGTACAAAGTCACAGAAGACTTCATAAATTGTGTGTTATTAAAAAGGAAGAGGCGTTGCCAATTAACAAACAGTATCGGGAACGTCTGTCAAAGGTTTTGTACTCCTTGTTCAAGATGCCTACGCCTTAAGAATTAAGAATTGTTATAGACTTAAAGAAATTAAACTTAAGCGACCGAAAAAGAAAAAAAAACATGATACTCATGGGAATGTTTTATATTGTGAACAGTTAGAAAATATCATTAAATACAACAAGAATTTTCTACGTCAGTCAATGATTATCTTTTATTTGAAATTGTTATTACTTTTTAACATTCCTATATGTTTTAGTTGTTATAAATTGAAATATTGAAATAAAACTGGATATACAATAAATAACTTTGGTTTTTGAAACGCCGGAATCTGATACAGACAACTAAAAAGGTATCACAAACATATCTTATTTGGTAGCAAAACATAAGCGAGAAATGCAATTACTTCCAAATATATAAATCAGCAGAACACACAAATACATGTACTCTATTCAATTGATGTGCATGGCAATTGCATTCATATACAATAATACTATATAAAAATCTTGTTCGAACAAGCATGATGAAAAGAGGCCTATATTTGACAATTGTTTCTAGTACATAAACCTGGTGCAGATGGGTTCAGAGGTGCTATTCGGACGCAAGAGGTTTTTACGGTGTTGTTTTCATTTGGCTTACCCTTGTAATTATATTTCACTTATTTTGTACTTGATCAGGAAAGTATATATTAGTACCGCATTATGTTTTATGTACTATCAACTACAAACATTTTTTTTTGGCGTCTTTATCAGATTTACTATCAACTACTATACCTGTTTTGTTGGCTTCTTTGTCATATTTACTATCAACTACAATAACGGTTTTGTTGGCGTCTTTGTCAGATTTCCTAACAACTACAATAACTGTTTTGTTGGCGTCTTTGTCAGATTTACTAACAACTACAATAACGGTTTTGTTGGCGTCTTTGTCAGATTTACTAACAGCTACAATAACGGTTTAGTTGGCGTCTTAGTCAGATTTACTAACAACTACAATAACGGTTTGTTGGCGTCTTTGTCTGATTTACTAACAACTACAATAGCTGTTTTGTTGGCGTCTTTGTTAGATTTACTAACAACTACAATAACTGTTTTGTTGGCGTCTTTGTCAGATTTACTAACAACTACAATAGCTGTTTTGTTGGCGTCTTTGTCAGATTTACTAACAACTACAATAACGGATTTGTTGGAGTCTTTGTCAGATTTACTTACAACTACAATAGCTGTTTTGTGGGCATCTTTGTCAGATTTAATTGTATGTTTGTTTGAATTTTTTAGTCAGTTGTGTTGTATGTCTTTGATGTATGCTTACACAGTTTTGGCAGCTGGATCCAAATTATGTTATATAGATACAATGGATAAGCGTGGATTCTTGAAAAAGAAACCATGAGCCCGGAGGGCGAATGGTTTGTTTTTCATGAATCTACGCTTATCCATTGTATCTATAACTTAAACTATTGTGTTAATTTCTTTTCAAAATTAAAGCCTTTTCTTAATTAGAAGGTATTGTAAGTGACTTTAAATAACCATGTTATCGTGTTCAACGATGCATTGATAAATCTCAGATCACAATTAATTGGTTAACAGGTTAACAAAATACAAATATAACACTTCTACCTTTAAAGATCTTTATATTACCAGGCATCTGAATATTATCTGTTTATACAAAATAAGACATATTCGAAATTATTTCAAATAAAATTTAAAATGGGAAATGGGGAACGTGTCAAAGAGACAACAACCCGACCAAAAAGCATATATAAAGTATATATAATAAGTATGTTATCGAAATTTGTCTACCACTCTAGGCACATCACGATTTTCTCGCATAGGAATTTGCGAACAAACCTTTGTAAAATTATGTAGCAAAACAGATGAAATCATACTATATTTATAAAACAAAAATTGACAAATAGAATGTAATCATTTTTGTTTCAAACATGTGAAATAGCCAATACTAATAAAAAAAAACGGTAAAACTCGCTATTATTACAAAAATATCCACTATAACATGCAAATTTATAAAACAAAAATTGACAAATAGAATGTAATCATTTTTGTTTCAAACATGTGAAATAGCCAATACTAAAAAAAAAACCGGTAAAACTCGCTATTATTACAAAAATATCCACTATAACATGCAAACTTAGAAAAAAAACAGGATAACTTAAGAATTCGAACAACAGAGAGAATACAGGGATTCGAACCTAAACCGACAAATCCCTATCCTTCATTGATTTTAACCATGCTAACCTCGCAGCTACCAACTCATACTATACGACTGCCTATTTTGTCTATATAAAGGTACAAGCCCTGTGTGTCCGATGAACCAATGTATATCAGATGTTCATTTAAATATATAAAATAGACATCTATAGTGTAACCCATTGGTAGCCGAGAGGTTTCGTCGATGTGTTGATGTCAGTCACACATAACAGATTTCAAGGAAGGGTACGATTCCCAGTGAAGGCATATAAAAATTACAAAAATTAAAGGTAAGTTTTTAAATTAATTCCATTAGTGAACAGAAATCAGTAAATTAGCCAATTCAAACTTAATGAAATTAGGCACACAAAGGAAACAATTGAATATAATTTAGTGAGTCAATTTCAGAGGCAGATTTAGGACGCGTTGATTCTAGAAAAAGAATCCACGGTAAATGAATAGGCTGACGTCACCACAATGGTTTAATGTCTTATTAACCTATTGTGTCTGTTTAGGTTGCTCACCCAATTTTTTCCACACAGCGGAACTACTGTATAAACAACTGTCGTACAAGTGGGAGGTTAAACTTACTATCAAACCAGATTAAACTCACATTTTTCTTTGGAAAATGCCTGTACCAGCTCTGGAATATGACAGTTGTTTTGCATTCGTGATTTAGTCGTACGTTTGATTTTGTCAGGTTTAATGGTCTTTCTTCCCCCCTTTTTAAAATTATCTTGAGTTCGCTATTTTTATTAATTCTTATTTGGGATGATAACTTATTAACCCGACCGTAGTAAAACAAGTGATTATTCATTCCCCCCCCCCCCCCCCCCACCTCATTTATATATACTTTATTGATGTCATACCATCTTCAGTAATTCGTCGATTTCTTTCATAATAGAAACAAGAAGATACTAAAGGGGTAATAACAAATTCTAGTCGAAGAAGAAATATGAACACCAAGGTATTTGTTTGTTCGAAAGTAATTAGCAGTTTACAGCTCCACAAATGGACATCAGTCGTGATAATAAAATTTTAATCTTGCTTTATTGTTGATATACCTTAATCGGATTGATAGAAATGTATATTCTACACCTAAGACATTACCAAGTTCCTGTCTTCAACTCCTTGATTTAGCAGCTTTTTTGTTTGCAGTAACCCTCCATATAACAACGACTAAGAGAATCGTATAACCTACCTGAAATATATAAAACGAAAGCTATTGATACACTTCATTCACTGTCAGGCCCTTCTTTTATACTGTTACATCAAAAAAATGTTTGCCTGGAGCTTCACTGAAGAGACATCAATTGTGGTAATGCGTATCTGATACAGTAAAATTGGTACCGTTTATTATGGTTTTACAAGGAGAAAATTAAGGTCAATTCTTTTGTCGTGACTTGCACTGATTATAATGTTATTTTATTATGATAAATTTCTCCAAAAACTTTACCAGTTACATTAGTCTATTATAGAGATTGGAATAACAACAATAGTACTTTATTTTAAAACGGTAACACATTTTATTATACAACTTATCCGCACTGAGGACCTCTTCATAAAAAAAAATAAAAATAAAAAAAGGTTTACATGATGCCTATTATTTTCAATGAGTTGATATATGCAATATATTAAGTAATATAACTGTATACACAAAATGATCAGCATCTCGTATACTTTCAGTAATTAGAGGAGCTATTTTGAACATTCTTAATATTCTGTATAAAACCTAAGTATTAAAGCTGTCCCACACTAAACAACAGTTATCAATTAGGGGAAAAAATTAAAATAACAAAAATACCGAACTCCAAGGAAAATTCAAACGGAAAGTTTCAAATGACAAAATCAAAAGTTAAAAAACATCAAACGAATCGAAAACAATTGTCATATTCCTGACTTGGTACAGGCATTTCCTTATGTAGAAAATGGTGGATTAAACCTGGTTTTATAGCTAGCTAAACCTCTCACTTGTATGACAGTCGAATAGTTTCTTTTTATTTACATATTTTATTTTTCTACTATAAAATCACACTGAATGCCCCACCTGGAACCCAATTAAACCATACTGGACTTATGATCCCTGACCTACCGGGCCTGGTGTTTTTCATAAAACTCCCTTTTAAAGACGAGTACAAAAAGAAAAAGAAAAAGGAATGTCGAAGATCTAAAACGACATTCTGCTACAGGGATTAATTAAACCAACAGTAGTTTATCGATGTACTAGATATGACAAAGATATGCAAATAATTTCATATAATTAACTAATAAGACAGACTCTCAACAGAAAGCACTAAAAGCTCGCTGAATCATTACGAACTGTCATTAAAGTAGGGTGCTACGAAGGAGCACGCGTATATTTCTAAGCATATATTACCTGTCGCTTTGGATTGCAGTCAACTCAATAAATGCATATCATAGAGCAGAAGCAAACGGTTTTACAGAAAAATATACATAACGTACAAGCCTCACCTTGCAACAACCCCCGAAGACAAAACAAAAAGATTACTGGAATGGATAACTGAGAACTGCGTCAGCATTTTATTGTAATTATTAAAAGATGGTATAGATACTCTATGTAGTCCCTCCCTCCTGCAGCGAGATAATGTGATGAATATTTTCAACTCAGCAGCAATTGTCATAATAGTTATAATCATATAC